TTTCTCATTTTACATGCCAAATCCATTTCCCACTCCTTCCCCTACTCCTGCTTACTCCACTTTTCCCCCAACCCACTCCCATCCTCTCCTCAGAGAGAGTAAGGCTTCCCATGGAGAATCAACAACGTCTAGCACATGGCTTTGTGGCAGGACCAAGGCCCTCCCCACTATATCTAGGCTGAGCAAGGTATCCCTCCAGAAAGAATGGTTTTTAAAAGGCAGAACAAGCAGTAGGGATAAATTCCTTGTCTCATTTCCAGTAGTCCCACAGTCTGCCCCAGCCATATAACTGTCGCCCACATTAAGAGGACCTAATTTGGTCCTTTGCTAGTTTCGTTGTTGTCAGGTTGGATTTGGGAGGTTTCCATTATATTGTAATAGGAGCGGCGGGGCTGTGTCCCCAGCACCCCGGCCGCCTGCTAGCTTATGCCCCGAAATAACAACACACAAACTGTATTCTTTTAAACACTGCTTGGCCGATTTCTGTCTAGCCTCTTCTAGGCTAATTCTCACATATTAATTTAGCCCATTTCTAATCATCTGTGTTGCACCCCAAGGTGCGCTTACCGGGAAGATTCTAGCCTACGTCCATCCTGGGTCGGAGCTGAATCACGTCTGCCCGGGAGAGTGGAGCACGGCGTCTCTGCTCCAGAGAGCAGAGCTGTCGAGTCTGAGCTCATTTCCTCTCCTCCCACCTATGTTTTAACCTATGAGGGCCAAGCAGTTTCTTTATTGCTTAACCAATGAAATCAACAGATTGATATATGACACTCCCACATCACCATTAGCTCAGGTAAGCTGTTTCAGTGGGTATCCTCATCATGTTCTTGACCTCTAGAGGGAATGGAATGGTAGAGATGGAGGAAAGACAGAGATGGAGAACAAGGAAAGACTTATCTTGATTGAGGGAGCCAAGATAGGGCTAGGAAGAAACCTAGCACTAGAGATAATTCCAGGAAACCACAAGTATGACCCCAGCTAAGACCCTAAGCATTAGTGGAGAGGGTGCCTGAATTGGTCTTGCCCTGTAGTCAGATTGATGACTATTTCAAGTGCCATCATTGAACCTACATCCAGCAACTGATGGAAGCAGACGCAGAGAACCACAGCAGAGCATTGGGCTGAACTCCCAAAGTCCAGGTCGAAAAGAGGGAGGAGTGAGAATACAAGCAAAGAGGTCAGAAATCACTTTTTAACTGGTTTCACAAATTATAGCCTAATTATCATATAATACCTAATTTCTCATTTACAATAAAAAGTATGATTTCCTGTCATGACTTTTGCCTTCTGATATCCAGGATTCTAAAAATAGAGATTTGATAGATGATATTTTTATGGTTCTATTTTGAACATTAACATTTTTCTGCTTGGCTTTTGTGATATCTCTACTTATTTCTGAACTCAGCTGATTGATATCTAGATTTCAAACATAATATTTTGTTATAATTATTCTATCCTTTGTGAATAATTAAATCTCAATACATTTCTCTATAATAAATGTATATAGTTTTGCATGGCAGACTACTATAGTTCATTGTTGTTACCTAGTAGTTTTATGAGCTCATGGAAGGTTTATAATAATTTGTTATTTTCCAACAATGAGGACCCTAGTAGAAAAGGAAAAGATCTCCTGAGTAAATTGGGAACATGTGTACCATGAGAGAAGGTTGAAGGGGAGGGAAGAGTGTGGGAGGGGAGCAGAGAAAAATGTATAGCTCAATATAATCACTTAAAAAATGAAAAAAAATTGTCATTTTCTTAAATTTATACAAAAAATAAAATATTAAGTGTAGTCATTAAAAACTGATAGTAAATGTAGTTTTAGTTAAATTACAATTTTTCTTTAGTTATTATTAGTTTTGTGGTCCTGAAAATGGAACCCAAGGGTCTTACAAGTGGGAGACAAGATTTGACTACCGAACTATATCCCCTGTTCCTCAGTTATTATTTTAACTGTATGCATTTACAGGGTACAGTGTTATAATTACATACATATATGCAACGTCCAATGATAAAATAATAGTAATTGGCACTTAAACATTGTTTCCTTTGATAAAATTATACATATTTATTTGATGCATGGAGCTCCATCTTGACATATGACTATATTCTTCTTCCTTTTCTGCATCTTCTTATTCTTATGACTTAAACTATACCTGCATAATCTTAGAGGGATGTCTTTCAAAATTTATTCTGAAGTATAAACATAGCCAACACATAAAATACTATTGAAATGTTATATATATATATATATATATATATATATATATATATATATATCACATAGGCCACAAGTTAAACAGGCAATACTAAAGCTTACTATTTCATTGATTCACATATAGTGGCAGACCTTAAAAGATAAATATTCTTTTCATTTTAAAATTACATTCATTTTTAAGAGTGGGTTGGTGCATGGGTGAGTGCAGTGCCCATGGAGGTTGGAAGAGGGCATAATGTTACTTGGACCTAGAATTACAGGTGGTTGTGGGTGCTACGAACTGATCTTGGATCTTCTGAGAGACTAGAATGCAATCTTAACCACTAAGCCACCCATCTTGCTTGGATAAATTCTATTTTAAAATGTATCTTTTATGGTCACATCCCTCAAGCTCAACATACGCTGAAAAAACTTATTTGAATTTTTAACAGAGCTTTCAATGATACTAGAGGAGATAATTAGCCACATCTTAGTAGGTAAATTTTTAGAGAAATAGTGAAAGACTGGTAAATACTTAGGTGAAGGGAGGATTTAGTGTCTTCCAAAGCAACGTATCCTTGCTGACATTTTGATCTTGGACTTCGAGCCTCCAGATGTGGAATAGATCTGTTGTTTTAAACTACCAGCTTCTAGCATTTTCTTACAGCATCTCTAGTAAACTAATACTTCTCAACTCCAATCTTCAAACAAAACCATATACATGCAGTTCAGATTGATTTCCTAGGTTTCATCTTCATGCATAGAGTTGTTTCTTAAATTTTTTTCTTAAATAACTCTTTCTTAAAGGTTGCTTTCCAAGGCAATTGAAAACTGAACATGGTCAAATGATATTACTCATGTAACCCTCACAACTAAATCTGTCATATTATTGAATATTCCTTTTTGTGAATATATTTCTTTCTTCTGTGCCTCATTTCTCAGTTCCTACATGGAAGCAATCACCAGAGACCGTCAGCTCTCCTTTTTGATACTCTTCTTGTGATGCTTAATTTTATGTGTCAACTTCACTGAGCAACAAGGTCCAGAAATTTGGTTAAACATTATCCTGGATGTTTCTGTGAGGATATTTTTGGAAGATTCTAACTTACAAACTGATGGGCCTGAATAAAAGCAGATTGCATTCTCTTACAACAATGGATCTCACTGACCAACTGAACATCTTAGTAATAGGAAAAGACAAATTTTACTCAAGCGAGAAGAAAAGCAGTCTTAGACTTTGCTGTCCCCTGAATTTCTAGCCTGTAGTCCTTCTCTGTAGATTCTGGACTTGTCAATTTCCATAAGCACATGGGCCAATACCATCAAATGTCTGTTTTGTAAATGCTACAGAACAGTTGCTATTAATGCTGATGGATAGAGGCAAGGATAAATGTGAAAATTCTGTAGTCAGACAACTTCCATTCTATTTCAGTGCTAACACTTGCTGTTTGTGTACCCTATTGGGGCAAAATTCCTTAAACTGTACAACCCTCAGTTTCTTATCCAACCAATGAGACAGTTACAGTATCCAATGCATAGAAATAGAAAGATTGACTTGAAATGTTTCTTAGAATGTATTATATATGATAAATGTTATAAAAGTGCTTACATTTTTTATTATTGCTAAATACAGCAAAAAATTGCTCCAATACTCAGCATACTACATTGTATCTCGATCAGATGTGGTTTTGTATTAATTTAACCCTGTGGACCTCTTTGTCCTGAGAGAGAGGTGTCTCCTTTCTCCCTGTTGTGAACGCTACTTTCTTAAGGAAAACAGCCATGCTTTCCACGCTTAACTTTTCAGTGCAGACACCTGAGTCCGTATCACTTTGCTTTGTCTCTGTCCACCTGGCCCCTCACCACCCCATCTGTTTTTAGAGAAAGTATCATTCATTCTGTAGCTTAGTCTTGGTTTACGTTTGTGATCTTCCTATTTCTACTTCCTCAGTCCTGTGAATATAGATCTATGCCACCATTCTGAGCATTTTGCCCTGTTCTTCAAAATCTAAACAAAAAACAAAAAAAACCCACCTACCTCTAACATATGGCCATTCTTAGTAGCTGAGAGAACAGGCAGTGGATGCACCAAGAATACATACAGCTGAACAAGATGCTTTGCAGTAGTCCCCTCCCCCCACTGGTATTGCTGTTGTCAATATTTATTATGACTTGAAATGTACAAGTCCCCAAGGAGGACCGTTGTCATGGTACTGTCAACAGATACATGCCTACAAAGTGAAATGAAGGTCTGAACCTTATCTCCCTATCCAGCTTTTCACTTCTTATCTCACTCTCTTCTTCCTTCATGATGGCCTTCTCGAGAACACATTATCACAACAAATAAATAAAAAACAAGAAGTCAACAATATATGCCTCATATTGATTACACATAATTCGCAGAATCTAGTGGAGAAGGATAAGAAATAAAAATGGCAACGTGAGAGAAATCTAAGAGAAAAAAGTAGTAATAGTGTGAGTTTCCTCTCAAGAAGGAAAACAATTTATAATTAAAGAAAATAAAAATCAAATCACTTTATACTATATGCATCTTCGTAATATTCATTTGCTTTTGTGGTGGAGGGATTGAAGATAGAATCTAGGGAAAAGCACATGCTAAGTAAATGCCACACCACTCAGCAATATGCTCAGGCCTTTTATATATATTAGTATGTTATACTATGAATTAATTTTAAGATAGAGTCTCACTAAGCTGCAACAAATGATCTGGACACAGCAATCTTCATGCCTTGCAGGCCTGTGCTGTCACAGCTTACTCAAAGCATTGGAAATGGTTTTGTACCTTTGTTTATATCAATGAGCTGCTTCTTCTTCTTCTTCTGGCGTTCCAGCTTCTCTTGTTCAGCTTTCTCTTTTGCAAGTTTTGCCCTTCTACTCTTCTCTTCCATTTCTTTTCTCTTATGGTTTTCTTTCAGTGCTTCCTAAAGACAAAAATAAAATAAATCAAGTCTATTTTCTACATAATATATAACAGAGAAGGTGTGCAGTTTAAAACTTCTACAAGTTTGCAGAAATGAGAAATTTTCATTGCAGTCTCAGAGTGTGGGCATATACTGTTTCTTGACAGAGACAAATAATTAGCCTTAAGACATCTATTCTGGAAAAATATTGAAAATAACCATTTCAGTTGTCATTATGTGTTGTGGCAGAAAAACATGGTTATCTATGTTGTAGTTTTAACAATGAAAATACTTTCTTCATTGTTAAAATATGAAATATTTTTGATATACAAAGTAAGAATTTCATCTCTTATTGAAATTTTTCCTGCTATCTGCAAAATGGGTTAAAAAAATCTACCTCCTAGGATATTTGTGATGAGAAATGAGATGAACACTTGAAGTACTTCCAGCAGAACTTAATACATTATAATCAAGGTATTTTCGTCTGCGATGAGGAGGTGGTTGTGTTGCTGGTGGAATGATTACACCTAATGATGCAGGATGTGAAACAATCACCTGCAAGTTTTAGAGCATTTTATATGGTGAGACTGTTGGAAATGATGAGAGATTTCAAGCTCTTTGATATTTATGGAATTCCAGTGAATGAATACATTCCTGTACATGATATCAGAGAAAGTTGAAGCAAAGTGACCAAATGAAATAATGTCAGCTTCCTTGAAGCTCAAATAAGTCACTACTTAAAAGACACATTAACTATGAGTTCATTCCTTCATGTTTTGTTTTGCTTTCTTTCGATTATGATTGATTAGCTATACTTCATAGTATGTGCTTATGTTTCTACTTTAGTAAGGTTTTTACTTTCCCGAAAACTATATTGTTCCAGCAAGTCTAAAAATAAGAAGATAAAGGAAACCCCAAGAATACATTTATGTGTTTTTTGCCTTGAGGAATCTGAATCTACACTGATTTGTTTCTTCATGTTAAAGGGCATAATAGTTTAAAATACTCCTGAAAACTCCTCTAAGCAATTCTCCTGGAGTGAAAGGATTGATTTTGTTCTATAAAATCTACCTGATTTTAGCACTGTGGCATCTATTATCCTAGTTAGGCAAATACTACACACATTAGGCTAAGAGCACACAACTATCTCGCTACTGTAGACAGAATCCAAGATTTCCACTTAAAGTTTAAAGTTCAATTTTACATACCAGTGCAGTCTCTCAATATTAGTACTACTGTCATTTTGGACTAGATGACTTCTGTTGTTCTTGTTATAGGGGTTGGCCTATGCATTGGAAGATGTTTGATGGCATCATTGGCCTCTACTCACTCGATGCAAATAGCATCTCTTACAATGTGGCAACCAAATAGGTCGCTTAAGACTGCCAAATGTCACTGGAAGGGCAAACAAGCCCAAATTGAGAACAAGGCGTTTCAGAAAGAAAATTCAGAGAATAAGTGATCAGGGAGTACTCAGCCTTAAATGGGATGCACATATTAGCTCCTCCAAGACAAAGGAAATACCCCAAAATGGAGGGAAAGAATAACATAAGTTATGGAAAGTATGAGGAAGGACTATGAAACCCTGTCTAATAAAAACAGAAAACCATGACTTCCCTCAGCAGCCATAGACTGCCATTACATTCCCCATGTTTGTCTCATCTGTGGATCAGTGTTGATGGGCTCAGTCTTATGCAGGCTCTGTGTATGCAACAATAGTTATTGTGAGTTCAGGAGTAACGTGCTCTGGCCAGTAGTGGGTTACTCAGAAACCAGTGAACAGCTTTATGTCTATTCCACCATGAGTAGCCCTGCTTAATCTTAATATGCTATAAAGAAAAAACAAAATAAAAGACTTGAAAATAGAATAGGGACTTGGTGAGTGGTGGGTGGGAACTGGTGGGGACAGAGGAGGCTCAGAAAAGGTGGAAAGTTAGTATGACCAGAGCGTACTCCATATATGTATGAAATTGTAAAAATAAACAAATTAATAATAATTAGAATACTACCTACTGCTGACTCAGAATCAGTTTACCTTTTCTAAATGTGGAAACTTCTAAACGATTTTTAAGTATTTAGCCAGGATCAGACATTTATGCAATTTGAAGGGTAAGTAGGTAATCCTTGTCTTTTCATTCAATATTTAGTATTTGTTTTATTCTTCAAGGATGAGAGAGAAGGCAATGTAAATGTAGCACAAAAAGCACATGAAACAATATTAAAAATAGATGGAAATTTCATCAAACTTAAAAAAAATTGCTCATAAAATGACACAGTTGGTCTGACAGGATAGCACAGTGGTAGATGTCGTCCTTGCTATGCATAAAGCCCTAGGTTAAATCCCTGCCTCACAAAGTTCATTCGTTAATTAAATAATAATAATAAGAAAACGACACTTAAGAAAGTGAAGAGATGCCCTCAGAATGGGAGAAATATTTACAAACCATGTATTTCATAAGAGCATTAAAAATACCGAAGAAAGGAAAAATAACTCCAAAAGATGGGAAAAGACTTTATGATCTATCAAGTTATCTTCCAATAAAAATGAATATTATAAAATAAATATTTGGTAAAGGCCAGAAAGCACAAGTAGGCCCTAAAAAGGAAAACAATAAGAAAAGACATTATATATTTTGGCCATAAGATGAAGAAGTTGCATGATTTCTGGTAAGTTACATGAAAGGAGGTAAGCAGCAGAAAAGAGAAAGGTGGCCGGTGCCTGTGTACACTGTTATTATTATTATTATTATTATCATTATTAATTTATTATTGGTCAAATCTTTTACATGCTAAACAGTTACCAAGATCCAGGTGAACTCTGGTATTTTTAATCTAATGGACTATTTCAGTTGAAGACTACTGTCACAAGGGGGCTTTTCAACAAATTTATTAAGGTGGAGAAATAGCCTGGTAACTTTCATTTGACATCTTTTTAATGCAACTTTTTCCTCCCTCCCTCCCTCCCTTTCTCTTTAGTGTGTGTGTTTGTGTGTGTGTGAAAAGATCTTCTATATCACAGGCTGGTCATACACTTCATATGTATAGAGGATGGCTTTGAACTTCTGTTCATTCTGAAGCTCCCTTCTCAGTGTTGGGAACATAAGGCATAGACACTCCAGTACCCCATGATGTTAAGTGGACCTGGGAACTGGACGCAGAGCTTCTTTCAGGAAGCTATAATCCTAGTATGCTTACAACATCCTAAAATCCCTGAGATGACAAAAGTAGTTGTGCATTTGGTATGCTAATGGATCTATAAATTGAGGGTGGCTCCTCTCACAGAAGATTCTGCACTTGATGTTGGCCAAGTTTCCTCCTGTGTATCACTTCAACTGCTTGTTTATTTGTATCTTTTCAAGTATTGTTAACAGTAAGTTGGTGTTGGGAGCAGTGAACCCCCAGATCCTGAATTTTTTGTAAACTACTTGTTTTCTTCTGCTCTGAGACAGCCTGCAGCTGCTCTGAGCACGAGACCCTCAGGAGTTCCTGATGTCAGGAGAGTGGTTTCTGGTGGGTTTGGCTCGGGCGTGGCTATCAGTTAAGGATCCCTATATAATCGGCTCTGGTACACAATAAAGGGGGCATACTTGGGGCATTCTTGTTTCAAGGATGACCTGTGTCTCTGTCTCTCTGTGAGTCTTTGTGTGTTTCAGTCTCCAGCCCCTCGCCCGATTAACGAACTATATTGTGGCGCATAGAGTGCAGACGGGCGTGGTGCGCTACAAGCTGGTAAAAAATGTTATCTAGAATATCATGAACTACTGCAGGAAATTAGTCTATTCTAAGGAAGGATAGGGTCAGGGACACAAAACAAGGGCTGACCTGGCTTCTGAAGTGGGAAGAGAAATAGGCTTGGTGACTAAAACCTCAAACATTGGGATCTATCTCCAAGTGGGTGGTGTCAGAGATCAGAGAACATCCATCCAGCTATTGTCCACATTGCAGGATGCATTGTACTAGGGAGAAATGGCTATATCTTTTGAGGTCTGTGGAGTCTTTTGCTATGATTGCTGTGGTATGAAAGCAGAGGAAACATATTCTGTTGTTCTGTATCTCCTTACTCTGACAATAACAGCTATCCTTTAATGGAAATTTATTATGTTTTTAGTGTTCATAAGACAGGCTATCTAATCTCTATAAAGATAAAAGAACTCATGCAAGTATTATTTAATCACATTTATGGAAGATGAAATTTCAGTTCAGATAGATGAAGTGACATGTCCCAGACTACACAACTACTTAACTTCTAGAACCATTTATGGTTTCTTGGCATCCTCAACTATGTTCATGTAGACTATACCCAAGTGGAGCTGTTGTGAAAATTAGAAGATGCTTGGATATATTTGAACTTCAGATAAACTATGAGTATTTTTTTAATATAAGTATATTCTATACAATATTTAGGACACACACCACAGAAATCACACAATATCTAGTATACATTGATACTAAAACGTTATAATTTACCTAAAATTCAAATTTTAGTGGCTCTCTTGTGATTTATTTATTTCTCTTTCTTCTTTTGCTTTTTAACAAAGGGTCTTTATATGTAGCTCAGGCTAGAATTTACTATATAGCCCAGACCAAGTTTGATCTTGTGATCCTCATGATTTAGACCCCAAAGTGTCAGGATTACAGGCGTGTGCCACCATGCCTGGTCTGCATCTTGCTTTTTCATTTGACAAATCTGAAAATTCTTTTCTCAAGCCTCTACTTATTTTTATGTGTATCTTTTGAATTATTAGGCTATGTAACGAACACTATACAAATTGTTATATTAAAATACTCAAATATAAAGTGTTTTGAGATCAGAAATGCTGATAGAGATTATTGAAGTAGGCTTTACATTGTCGATTGCCTTGAATCATGCTACTTCTGCAACATTCTTCACATATTCATTTAAAAGTTGTTTTTGACAATGAATAAAATTCAATATTATAAAAACAGGAGCTTATATAAAAAATCATAGCTTATACAACTTAAGATGGTAGACAATAAGGTAATCACTAATATCAAGGACT